CCAGGGCCACTCAGCTCCTGACCTCATTACAGCCTTGGTTCAAACATGGACAAAAGAGCTGAATACTAGAGGTGCTGTGAGAGTGACAGCCCTTGACATCAAGGCTGCATTCGATGAAGTGTGGCTTCAAGGAACCCTTGTATAACTGGAACCAGTGGAAACCATAGGGCAAACTCTCCACTGGTTGAAATCATACTTGGCACATAGGAAGATGGTTGTGGCTTTTGGAGGTCAGTCATCTCAGCCCTAGGATATCTCTGCCATAGTTCCTCAGCATACAGTCCTAGACCCAACCATCATCAGCTGCTTGATCAATGACATTCCCTCCATCATTAGGTCAGAAGTGAGGATATTTGCCAAATGATTGTGCAATGTTCAGCAGTATTCACAAGGCCTCAGATACTGAAGCAATCCATGTTCAATGCAACAAGATCTGGACAATATCCAGGCTTGAGCTGACAAGTGGCAAATAACATTTGCGCCACACAAATGCCAGGCAATGACTATCTCCAATAAGAGACGATCTAACCACTGCCTCTTGACAGTCAATTGCAACGCCATCACTAAATCCCCCACTCTCAACATCCTGGGGGACACCATTGACCAGAAACTCAACTGGACTCACCACATACACGCAGTGACTACAAGAACAAGTAAGAGTGCTGCGGTGAGTATCTCACTTCTGGACCCCCAATCCCTGTCCATCATCTACAACACAGAAGTCATGAGTATGATGGAATATTCCTCACTTTCCTAGATGAGTGACTCTTCAACAACTCTCAAGAAGTTTGGCACCATCCAGAACAAAGCAACTTGCTAGACTGGCAGCACATCCACAAACATTCGGTCACTCCACCACTGATGCTCAGTAGCATCAGTGTATACAATCTACAAGATGCTCTGCAAAATTTGCCAAACCCACAACCACTACCATTTAGAATGACAATTGCAGAAGATATATGGGAAAAGAATCATCTGCAGGTTCCTCTTCAAGACACTCAGCACCTTATCATAAAAATCATCACAGAATCCCTACAGTGTGGAAACAGGCCCTTCGGCCCAACAAGTCCACACCAACCATGGTGGTCAGTGGCCATGAAATGCTTTTAGCAAACAGAGTCAAGGGGAATCCCAAGGCTTTTTATGCATATGTTAGGAGAAAGAGGGTAACAAGGGAAAGAGTAAGCCCATTCAAGGACAAAGGAGGGAAGTTATACGTAGAGCCACAGGAAGTGAGGGAGATCCTGAATGAGTGCTTTGTATCGGTTTTCACCAAGGAGAAGGACATGACCAATGTTGAGGCCAGGGATGAGTGTGTGAATATTCTAGAGAATGTCAACATATTAAATGAGGAAGTTTTGGGAATCCTAAATTGCATTAAGATAGACAAGTCCCCAGGACTAGATGGGATCACTGCAGGTGACTCAGAAAGGCAAGGGAGGAAGTAACGGGGGCATTGGCAGTTATCTTCACATCCTCATTGACCACAGGTGAAGTTCCAGAGGAGTGAAGTTTAGCGAATATTATTCCCTTGTTTAAGAAAGGATCCAGGGATAATCCAGGAAGCTACAGGCCGGTAAGCTTGAAGTCTGTTTTGGGAAAGCTCTTGGAGAAGATACTAAGGGACGAGATATATATGCATTTGGATGAAAATAGACTAGTTAGTGACAGGCAGCATGGTTTTGTCTGGAAAAGGTCATGTCTCACCAACTTGATTGAATTTTTTGGAGAGGTAACAAGGATAATTGGTGAAAGAAGGCCTGTGGATGTAGTTTATATGGACTTTAGTAAGTCATTTGATAAGGTCCCACATGGCAGATTGGTACAAAAACTAAAATCACAAGGGATTCGGGGTGGCCTGGTTGGATGAATAGAAAACTGGCTTGGTCATAGAAGACAGAGGGTATTGGTGGAAGGATGTTTTTCAGAATGGAGACCAGTAACTAGTGGTGTTCCACAGGGGTCAGTCTTAGGTTCTTTGTTGTTTGTAATATATATAAATGATGTGGAGGAAAATGTGGGTGGTCTGATAAGCAAATTTGCTGATGACACAAAGATTGATGGAGTTGCTGATAGTGCCAATGATTGTGGAAGTATACAACAGGGTATAGATAGATTGGCGACTTGGGCACAGAAATGGCAGATGGAGTTTAATCCAGACAAATGCCAGGTGATGCATTTTGGACGATCAATTTTAGATGTGAATTATACTATAAATGGCAGAACCCTTAGGAACACTAACATTCAGATGAATCTGGGCGTGCAGGTCCACAGTTCCCTGAAAGTGGCAAGACAAGTAATCAAGGTGATTAAGAAGGCATATGGCATGCTTGCCTTCATCGCCTGGGGCGTGGAGTACAAGAGTTGGCAAAACAAATTGCAGCTATATGAAACCCTTGTCAGGCTGCATTTGGGGTATTGTGTGCAGTTTTGGTCACCACATTACCAGAAGATGTTGAAGCTCTGGAGAGAGTGCAGAGAAGGTTCACCAGGATGTCACCCATTCTCGAGGGCATTGGCTATGAGGAAAGGTTAAAAAGACTGGGATTGTTTTCACTGGAAAGACGGCGGCTGAGAGGAGACCTGATAGAGGTCTACAAAATTATGATAGGGTGGATAGCCGGACGCATTTTCCCACGGTTGAAGTTTCAATTACAAGGGGGCACAGGTTCAAGGTCAGAGGGGGAAAGTTTAAGGGAGATGTGTGGGGGAAGTTTTTCATGCAGAGAGTGGTAGCTGCCTGAAACGCACTGCCAGAGTAGGTGGTGGAAGCAGGCACATTGAAGACAGTTAAGAGGCACCTAGATGGGTACATGAATAGGGAGGGAATAGAGGGATATGGATTGAAAAATGGCAGGTTTGGTTTTAGATTAATTAGGGCATGATGGTCGGCACAGGCTTGGAGGGCCAAAGGCCCTGTTCCTGTGCTGTGCTTTTTCCATTTGACCCTCAGAGCATCCCACCCATATCCATTCCCCTATAACCCACCTAATCTTCACAGCCCTGAGCACTATGGGTAATTTAGCATGGCCAATCCACCTAACCTGCACATCTTTGGACTGTAGGAGGAAACCAGAGCACCCAGAGGAAACCCACACAGACACAGGTAGAATGTGCAAAGTCCACACAAATGGTCACCTGAGGGTGGAATCGAGCTTGGGTTCCTGGCGTTGTGAGCAGCAGTGCTAACCATTGAGCCACTGTACCACCCCATTAATCACAAAATATATCACCATTCCTTGGGTATTCAATATGACTGTAGCCAGTGGAGAGTTTTCCCCTGATCCCCATTGACTCCCATTTTGCTACCGATCCTTGATGTCACACTCATTCAAATGAGGCCTTGATGTCATGGGCAGTCACTCTCACCTCACCTCTGGAATTCAGCTCTGTTGTCCACATGTGAAGGGTCAAAATCCTGGAATTATCTCCTTGACAGCATTCTCTCCCATCCACCTCTTTTTCACCAAATGTGAAAAAAGAATACTGCATTTCTTAAATCTGTTTCCCTCACCAAAGCTGCCTCCATTCTCTATTTTCAGCTTGAGCTGTCTCAATTGGAAATCCACTCAAACCTTAGTTGGTCCAATTTTAACTTATTCTGTTTGTTATCCCCAATTTCTAGCTCTGGATATTTCCCACCTACTTTGAAATTCCTGTTTCTAGTTCTAGAACTCCACCACTAAGTACAGAGCAATCATTATTAGTTCTTCCAACAGCAAAGCTTTTAATTTCTCAGAGGTTATTTTCCTGCTTTATGAAAGAATAACTTCTAATGTGGACATCTTTGTAATTTTAGATCTTTAGGGACTCGAATGATCTTTTTGCAGCTTTTTTTTTAAACAGGTTTTGAACGAACAGTTCATTTCTCCATTCCATTCCTTTCATTGGTTCGTCATGGACCAAACTCTCAAAATTCTTAAAAGCAGGTGAGGAGGGATGACAGCTCCTCTCTTTTTTTTAACCCTCTCTCGGTAAATTGCAATAAGTATCATATTTTGTTTTTGGGCGTGGAGCTATCACACTTCAGTTAAACATACTGTAGTTAACCAGATCAAAAATGAAGGTGAGCTCATTCCGTGGGGTTGTTTTGTGCGAAAAAGAATGAAGTTTTATAAACTGAAAAAAGTAATAAATTGAGACAAATACACACACACAAAACATCACTATTGGACTTACACTGAAGATAGGAGATAGGGAGGTGAGGTATCTGACACAGACAGGAAGATAAATGCAGTTGTAGTTCAAAGCTTTTCATATGCTTTGAGTTGCAATAGTGAAACCTGAGTCCCAACTACTTAGCTGTCATCCTGTTTCCTCAAGAGTAATGGAGTTTGCAGATACCTTTCATTTCTCAATCATTGGATGTTTTCCTACTTTTTTTTTCACTGGTGCTGACGTCTGAGCTTGAAGGTCAAAAACAACCAAATAAAGAGGGAGATGGGAGCTTTCTGGAGCAGGAAAGTCGACATTTCGGTTCAGGATGAAGGCTCCCGAGCCAAAATATCAATTTTCCTGCTCCTGTGTTCCTCCAGCTCTACACTGTATTGACTCTGACTCCAGATCTGCAGTTAGAATCCCTACAGTGTGGAAACAGGCCCTTCAGCCCAACAAGTCCACACCAAACCTCAGACCATCCCACCCAGACCCATTCCCCTGTAACTGGCCTAATCTACACATCCCTGAACACCATTGGCAATTTATCTAACCTACACATCTTTAGACTGTGGGAGGAAACTGGAGCACCTGGAGGAAACCCATGCAGATACAGGGAGAATGTGCAAACTCCACACAGACAGTCACCCAAGGGTGGAATTGAACCCAGGTTGTTGGTGCTGTAAGGCAGCAGTGCTAACCACTGAGCCACCATGCCACCCCATTCTTGCTATCTCCCTATATCTGGGAGCTTTCGTATTTTTCCTGTGTTCAGTCCATGTTGCTTTCTCTCTTGTTTGTTGCTGAAATCAAGCTATTAAAATGTGGTTCATTTCTGTATTCCCAATTAAGCTCCATTGCCTTTTCCAAACTGAATACTCCACAGGTAACTTTTCATTTTCAACATGTCGAGTTATTATCCAAGCATAAGTAAAACAAGAGATGCAAATTCCTTAATACCTCACTGAGTTTTAGAGTCTCTTGATAAAAATGGTAATTCTGAGGCAGCTATTGTATACGTTCCATGCATGTTGCCTAGGCTTGTCAGATGATCCCAGTAACAAATTTAGGCCAGCAGTGTCCTTTCATTAAAGCCATTTTCAGATCATGAAAATCTCATGTATTAAAGTCAAATGATGCAAATTGAATATTGCAAGTCCATTTTTATTCTGATCATAACAAAATGAAAGAGTTCAATGAGTCTTGATGCAGAAAATGGGACTAAAATACCTGTAATCCTTCTCTTCCTCTGGGAATGGTCCTTTATCTCAACTTAGCAACACCCTATGTGGCACAATTCAAGCCTGTGGTAAACTACATTTCTAAACCTGCATCCCTTCACATCAGCATAAATTTCCAGAATATTCCATTGACAAAAATTTTTTGTATTTATGTTGTGCTAATCAACAAATCGCTACTGAATGCTCTGGCAAAGTATCTTACTATCATAGAGAGGCCAGATAATGATTAAGTTTATACCTTTTGGACCTTCTGTAACTTCTCACAGAATTCAGCTGTGCTGGATAATTCCAAGTCACTAAATGGCAAGCGCACCTCTCCTAAAACATCACGCCGAGAATATTTGTCAAAATCCCAAACCTGGAAAAAGAATATTTGCTCCAAATTAGATTGTAAAAGTACTAAAGACAAACCACTGATTATCAGTAAGAACTATAGACAGAGACTGTCGATTTTTGTTTCTTGGTGAATTATAAGTGTTTACTTTTGTCCGGGTAGATGTGTGAAGTTTAGATAGTGCAGGAAATTATTAGACAATGTAATCAGCTGATTGATGATATGTGGAGGAAGGGAATTAAATACCAAAGCTATACACAGATTAGGAATTTTGAGCATGAGCAGAGAATGCTTTGAATGGTGAAATATTTCACATGGTTATGCAATTTTCTCCAATTTTTTAGAAATTGCCACTAACAATATTGGATCGGAGCAGTGTACAGAAGCAAATGATTTCTGTTCTCTCCTGTTACTGTCCACACTGCTGGATAACAGTGTCAGAATTCTGGGAATCTGTTCAAACTCTTAGCCAGTGAAAAGTGAGCTGTGCTGGGGTAGCTAAATCCAGGGGTCAGGCAGAATGGGGAAGAGGGAAAATTGTGTTCAATTAAAATAATCACTTCTGTTTCCTACAGCCTTTTCAGACCTTGTACAACTTGTCCAAATACAGGACTTTGTTTGTTCATTAATAATAATAATAATAATAAAAAGGAGGTGCTGTCAAAGGAACATTTGTAAGTTATTGCATCCCTTAGATCATATTTACTGTTGTTGTTGGTGAAACATGTGTAAATATTGAGATATTGGGCAGAACTTTACATGGGTAGCAGTTGGGCAACTCACATCCACCATTGCCCTCCCATGCCATCCAGACTCTTGCAATTACAGTGCACAGTAGGCAGCTAAATTAATGCAGAGTAGGATTTCAGCCATTCAGGGATAGGAAGTCCCGCCAGCTGGAGCTGATTGGCCACTAGCGTTTGTCGTCCCAGCCATATAGTGGGCACTGCCAGGACAGCATCCAGTCCCTGGATAAAGGCTCCAGGTAAGTACAGGGCATTGCTTGAGGAGGGTTTAACCACCTGTGATGTGGGTGGAAGAGTGGGGTTTAAAGTCAATGCAAGGAGGAAGCAAGGGTTGGGTTCCATCTTCTGGGGTGAGGCAGTGCCCCTGACTTGCAAAAAGCATCCTCAAAAGATATTACCCTCCTTCCATTCTGCATTTTTCAAAGATTGTGAAAAGAAGTGGGCTACTCACTCCTGCCTGCCTGCTGATGCTGATGGTTTTGCAGCGTGTAGTGGGTGATTTGAAGGTAACCTGGGTCTTATAATGGAGGTGAACTTGGGGGTGGTGGGCTTGGCACTTACCCTCTTTTAGATGTGCCCCCTGCCAAAAACACATTCCACCTGGACATAAAATACCCATTAACCAAATTGGATGTTACAGTGCTGCAGCTTGGGGGAGACACAAGACACTTAATTATTTCTCTGAAAAATCTGGAGTGATATCATTTACAGAATTCCTACAGTGTGGAAACAGGCCCTTCAGCTCAACAAGTCCACACCAAACCTCAGAGTATTCCACCCAGACCTATCCCTGCAACCCACCTAATCTACACATTCTTGGACACTACGGGCAATTTAGCATGGCCAATCCACCTAGCTTGCACATCTTTGAACTGTGGGAGGAAACCGGAGCACTTGGTGGAAACCCACGCAGACACAGAGAAAATGTGCAAACTCCACACAGACAGTGGTCCAAAGGTGGAATCAAACCCAGGTCCCTGGCACTGTGAGGCAGCAGTGCTAACCACTGTGCCATCCAAACAAATTTAAACACAGCTGAAGTTGAGTCAAGATGCCTAAAATGAAGGGGGCACCCAGATTTGAACTGGGGACCTCTTGATCTGCAGTCAAATGCTCTACCACTGAGCTATACCCCCAGTGGTGTAGTTACACCATACAGTCTTCAAATGAATAGTGAATGTAATTCATTTATATCATGTTTCATTACTATTTTAGTGTTTTTGTACTGAGAAGTCCAGAAAGAATGTATACTGATAAAACTGTTATTCCAGATTCGTATGTATAAAGCAACACAACTTCACAATGATTCAAAGTTCTGAACTATAAATCAAATTCGATCTGTCACTGTGTTCATTCAAACACTTTAATCTCTCCTTTGATAAATGGTATATAGCAGTAAACCACTCAGTCCGTGATTGTCATACAAAACTAAAGTCCATCAACAGGAAAAGGACAGTGAACAAATAGTAGCAACGAGTGAGCAGAGTGCACACTATGACCATGATATTAACAAAACAATTAGCCTGAGGATCAAACTCAGTGCTTTGACATAAAATAACATTTTGAATAAACATAACAAGATAGCAAGATGATTTAAAATAAGTACCTCAAGTTTTAAAGTAGCCTTCCTGTAGGCAGTCTTTTCAATAAAACAGGTATATTGGTCTCCAAAAGAGGGATTTCTTGTATTTTTCACAATCTTTGTGTCCCATTGGTGAAGGATACATTGGTATCGAGGTAAACTGGTAAATAGCTTTATCCGAATGAAAAAATCGGTATGCTGATTGAAGTGTCGAGCAGGAAGATTAGAAGCTTCTTTAACTGTCAGTTGTAATTTTGACTGTTTTTTATCATATAAGAGGGAAAATTTCAAATTGCCTGAAAGCTCAACGTTTGAGTCAACGACAAGATCATCATTTGATTGAATCAGTTTAAAATCAACAGGATCACTCCTTTGAAGATAAAGGCTTAGCTTTTGTATACTCTCTTGGAGCTTGTACACCTTAAAAAGACACATATGTAAAAGAAAAAGATTGTAATTAAACATTGTGCAGTGTGTACTTTTTAATTGTGGGGTAAAAGAATAAATATATCAACAATCCTGAGAGTCGCGCACCTTATAATCATACTTTTTCATGTCTGAATACTCATCTTCATCAGACAAACCCAGGAAGTCTGCAGAGTTGCTGCATGTTGATAAGTTGCTTTTTTCCGTATATTGTTTATTGGGATCAGTCCCACTCACAGCAATTTTTGCTACAAGCAGAATATTAATTGAAAATTACACAGGAACAGTTTATTATTGGAATAATAAATGTAGGTACTCATTACATGCAAAATCTCGTCCCAAACCTAATGATCCCATCACACCCTTGTGTACCTGTTGGAGGGTTCTGAGGTTATCTTTGCAGAAGAAAATTTACAAGCTTTTATTTAGCGTTACTATGTGAATAGTTGGCAGCCTTTCAATGCCTTCATGTAATGTTCAGTAGCATGCAAAGAATCATTTACCCTCCTACCATAAGGAAAGACAATTTTAAATTCAGACTTGATATCTTAGGTCTGGCTTTACAAAAACTAGAACATACTTGTGTTACATTACAACATATTATATAAGGTCACATGATAATTCTGGATAGCCTTTGGATCATCGAACTTCCTAAGAACTTACAGAACCCCATCATGAAATCTAGCAGTTTCTTAAATGATTCCAGGGATTGTTTCTACTAAGAAACCTTGAATTGCATACCGTGTGTTGATCTTTTTACACAAGGAGAGCTTCTTGGAATTGACTCTAAATTTGACCTTTGCTATTCCAAATCTTGCCCCACTGGCCTTTGAAATCTATTCAAAATGGTGTTCCAGCTTTGCTGTTTTTCTGCTGTTCACTATCTTTTATAGCTTTATAAAATGTTGTCCTATCCTTTTCCTTTGTCCCTGAATTGGGGAATAGGGGGAAATCCAAAAATTCTAATTGGAATTACAAAGAAGAAAGGCACAGAGCTGGAAATTTGACAGAGAAACAAAAACAAAAATTATAAAGGGAAGACCTTGAATTCCAGAGAGGAAAGGACATACTGAAATCTAATTTTTACAAAAAGAGCTTAGATTACACAAACAGGTGGTGCAGGAAATGTTGATTCTATTACTGACTTAACTACTGTTTTTGATTGCATTAGTATAACATAAGTAATACTTGTTTCATGTCTAAATTCAATAAGGAAGATGTTGAAATATATGTTGCGTTGTTTGAGAAAATTGCTATTGGAACTGCAATGGCTGAAATAAGCTTGGGTAGTATTTTTTACAGAACTTGTTCATAGGGATGGTTTTAAAGGTGCATTCTTTCAGATAAACCATTAAGTGATGATTAAAGCTACAGTTTTCAATAGTCATACTAGGGCCTTACAGCAAGAAATTTACCCTTTCAGGAAAAGAACTGGGTCAAACCTCTGAGAAATTTGTGAGAGAACAAAGATGATATTTATTAGGTTGTATAGATTTATAAGGTTTGAACAAGACTTTGAAAACCTTAGAGAAATAATGTTAATGGAAGAAATTCAAAATTGCATCTTCTTTTCAAATTCATTCATAGGATATGGGCATTGCTGGCGAGGCCAGCATTTATTGCCCATCCCTGATTGTTCAGAGGGCAGTTAAGAGTCAACCATATTGCTGTAGTGTCACATTGTAGACCAGACCTGATAAGGATGGCAGATTTCCTTCCCTAAAGGACATTAGCCAGCAAGATGGGTTTTTACAACAATGGTTATCTTGAGCATGGTAATCATTTTTCCTTCCTGGGAAGAACTTTGAAGGGTTTAATCCTGAAAAAGAACTTAAATAAAAATTATCTTGAATTCAAATAGGATAAGTTCAATTCAAATGTGTGACTAATTGAGCTTTATCCACAAACTTGGACATTAAAAGATCCACAAATCGGGAAAAGAATGGAGAACAGGATTTAAAACCTAAACAAATTGATCAAAAACTACAATAAAAGGTGAACACCTTGCTGTCAATGTCATTCTTGTCAAAGTTAACCAGGCCAAACCAATTGTGAAATTGTTGATCCTGTCACGTGTGCTATCTCAAGATCCAAAATATGTGCAATGCAAAACAGGTTTTAAAAAGCAACCTAAGCGCTGCAAAACAATAGGACAATCTTTTAATTAAAGACAAGGGAAAGTGGGAAAGACAATGCAAATTGAGAATGGAGATTTTCTGTGATGAGAGACAGAAAGCAAAACCACCAGTAGTGAAGGGCACTCTTGTTCGCAATAAAATTGGAACTCAAACTGTACTCTAAATCTTAAGTGTCAAATGAGATTCATTGCAATGACATAAGCTTTCAAATGTTGCCAGGACAGAATGTTAAACCTTGAAATGTGGAATAAGGGGAAAAAAAAACTTGTAATATATGAATAAATTAATTGTTAAAGTGTTGCCAATATTATATCTTAATAATGTTACAAAAAAGTATTACAGTAATATTTTTTCATTTTAATAGGGAAATGCCCACTAGACGTTATGTTTCAATTATGTTTTAAACTGTCTCTTTTCATTTAAGCTAAAATGGAATAATTTGAAATGGGGAGTGACCGAAGTAAAGCCCAAGTGACCAGGTTTCAATCTGGATAAAGACTCAGTTCTGATCTTATTGCAAGTACGGTGTAAACTTTAACAGCTTGACACAGTAACACACAGATGATGGACACTTGACTTTTTTGAAAGCATAGGGCTGTTAGTCAAAAATGGAGATCTGAAGAGGGAAGCTAAAAATGGGTGCTACCATGCCAGGTAGATGCGAAAGGTTAACCATCAAACAATGGCTTGAAGAAGAATCAGGAAGTGTTGAAGAGTGCAAAATGAGCAAAAGGTATCTTGTTATTACAATCCCATTGGTTATTGAACAAAGCATTTAGTGAAGTAGCTTTCTTTTAAAAGGATGGTGGAGAACACCCTGGTAGGTCGGGGAAAGTCATCATGTTAACACTGAGAAGAGTTTAGCACTTTAAGAACAAAACTACATGTCTGCTGAGAGTGCAATGTAATGTGTAAACAGGGCATTGGGTTTTCAGTTGTATTCAAATATTAATAAGTAATACATTTTTCTCTAATTTGATGTTTCAGTTGAGTGTTAAATAAGGTTTCATCTATGTTTATTTTAGTATGTTTACTACAGTAAAAGTCTTAAGAACTAGGTATTAAAGAATGCTATACATCTTGCTTCTAGAATTTAGAATGGACTCACCTTTAATTTTCTTTGCTTTTCTGTGTTTACAGTAAAGGTAGATCTGCCATCCTAGAATTATCATGGATACCAAAAGGAAAAGGCCTGCTGCCCCCAAAAGAATAATTTTCATTGTATTACCCAGATGAATGTTCATGTTTTGAATAACAGCCAAGAATTTGCTGGTAAAACCCATGTTCCTTTTATAGCTGTAAGATAAAACAGAATTGATTAAAAAGAACACCAGCGACTGCAACTGGTTTGTTCCTACTGATCGATTTATAGGTTACCCAGACAATATTGCACAATTTTTAAAAAAGCATATTCACGGATGAAGGCATCATTTACAAGGCCAGCATTTATCAGCTATCATTAATTATCCTTAATAGAATGGTTTACTAGGCTATTTCACGGTGTAATGAAGAGTCAACCACATTGTTGTAGGTCTCAAGTTACAGTCTGGGTAAGGCCAGCAGATTTCCTTCCCAAAAGGACAGTACAGGGACCAAGATAAGTATTATAACGATTCTGTAGTTACATAGGCACCTTACTGATATCACCTTTTTAATCTGGGTTTATTTAATTAAGTGAATTTAAATTCACCAGCTGACAAGGTAGAATTTGAACTCATGTCATCAGATCATTAGTTCAGGCCCCTGGATTACCAGTCTCCTAGTATATCCACCGTCTTACGTTACCCTAATTTATCAGATTTACAGTACAATGTAGGGAATCATTTTGGCTGCAGGTTACTTTGCAGCATATGGTACAATTCAGTCATATTATTTTTTTCAAACTGCAGCCTGTATTGGCATTGCTGGTACTTTAGATAGAAGAATTTGCCTCATTTTATAAATGCAATGCAGGCATTTAGTAGATACAGAACCAGTCTTGCGTCTTTCCATACCGTCATGAAGCTGGCTACATTGTTCATGTTGGAAGAACATCACCCCAGTGCTCCTCAACAATGACAGGAAGCTATCTGGGAGGCCTACCAATGCATCCAACATCTCAGTGTGCGTGTTCGTCAGTGTTCTCCTCTGTGCTGCCCCCAAAAAAAATCCTCATCTGATTCCTCATCCTCCAACAGCTGGCAAACCATTTACCTCTGTTTGGCTACAGCCACTCATGCCTGGCAACTCACCATTTACAGAAACCAACCCCATACAGTAGCCTCTAAAATCCTCACAGGGCCAATATCTGACCTGGAGGCTAGGAGGATAAGATTAAGTGACGATGCATTTTATTTACTTACATGGGTAGCTCTTCATAGGAAATAGGATTTAGGAGGAGGAGCAGGTCATTCGCCTTTCAAACCTGCTCCACCATTCAATAAGATGATGGCCAATCTGGTTGTGGTCTCGACTCCACTTTCCAGTCTGGTCCCCCCATCACCCTGTTCTCTCTAGTTTACAAAACTCTATCTGCCTTTACCTGAAATAAATTCAATGATCCTGTCTCCACTGTTTTCTTGGGAAGAGAATTCCACAGAATAGTGGCCCTCTGGGAGAATGTTTTGTTTCCACATGTCCATCTTAAAGGCAAAAGTTCTTATTTTCAAACTGTGTCTCTTTGTAGTCTCCCTCATAAGAGGAAATATCTTCCCAGCATCCCTCCTGACAAGTCCCCTCAGGAGCTTATATGTTTCAATAAGATCATCTCTCATTCTTTGAAACTGAATGGATGCAGGCACAACCTATCCAATAATTCCTCATAACAATCCCATTGGTCCAACGCATCCATGCCAACCAGGTTTCCTAAATTGAACTAGTCCCATCTGCTTGGGTTTGACCCATATCCCTCTAAACCTTTCCTATCCATATACCTGTCCAAAAGTCTTTTAAATGTTGTAACTGTACCTGCATCTACCACTTCCTCTGGCAGCTCATTCCATATACTCACCACCCTCTGTGTGAAAACTTTGACCCTCAAGTTCCTTTTAAATCTTTCTCCTCTCACCTTAAACTTATGCACTCTATTTTTGGATTTGCCTACCCTGGGGATAAAACCTTGGCTATTCACCTTACCTATGCCCCTCATGATTTTATAAACCTGTATAAGGTGAACACTCAGCCTCCTATGCTCCAGGGGGAAAAAAATCCCAGCTTCTCCAGCCTTTCATCATATCCTTATACCTCAAACCTATTAATGGGAATTTCATTCTGGAGAATTATTTTCTTTTATAAGAAGATACCAAGTCATGCGACTGAAAAAGAAACATTTCCGGTAACAGATTTCTAGTAACTTGAGGGAAAATAAATTCATTTGGACCATGTGGTTGGAGCAATGCACAGACAGAGCAGCCTCTGTGACAAGGAAAGTCAAAGGATTTGTCCGTAAGGTAAAAGAGCAATATCCTGACATTCAGGTTATTCATTGCATCCTCCACCTTGAACCTCTTCTAGCCAAACCAATGCCACCAAATTTAGGTGCAGTAATAGAGTAAGCCGTGAAAATCGTGAATTATGTAAAACCACGGCCGATGAAATTATGTTTGTTCACTATTTTGTGTGCAGAGACTGGAGCCAAGCATCAGAGTTTACTTACACCCCAATGATTATTGTGGTTGAAGGTTCTGTACTGTGCTCATGAGCTCTGGAGAGAAGGGATAAATGGTTCAACATTTACGAACTGCTGTATAAAGAGTTACTACCTGATGATTACTGGTGGGCTAAGCTCACATATCTCATCTACATTGTCAGGCATCTGAATGAGCTGAACACTACGGAGGAAGAACAAGACAGTCCTGACTGTCACAGATAAACTTCAAGGTTTCAGGTTAAAACTAGGCCTTTGGCAAAAGGCAGTGACAGGGATTTCACTTGCGATGTTCCCAATAAACAGCAGACACAGCTGTCAAGATGTACAGCCTCATGTTCAAACATCTCAAAGCACCTCCAAGAGAAGTTCAAACACAACTTCACATCAACAAATCTGGAAAACTATGACTTGATATGTGATCTGTTTTGTTCACTGTCTTCTGATTCATCACAAAAGCTGACATTAAAAGAAAAAGAGGAATACGCTGAGCTACGGATAGATTGCACATTGAAGCTAAAGTTTAGACAGGTGTCTTTGTGTGTGTTTTGGTTGCATGAGTAACTGCGATCTCTGACCCGGCTATTACTGTACTCTTGCCGTTTGCAACAACAAATCTCTGCAAGTGAGCATTTTCAACACGGGTATACATGAAAAATAACAGGAGGGAGTGGTTGTTAATGGAGCAAGATGTGCAGCTGGGCCTTTCATCAATTCCTCCCTGGATCTGCGCACACCAACAGACCAAGGTTTCCCATTAACCCTGTAAATTATAATATGCTCTACATTGTATTTTGTTCTGACCCATTGCTCATGAATAGTTAGAAATAGTTGAGTTGAGTAGATTTTGAAAATGTGCCTGTGTTCACAGTCGAAGACGGTGTTGTTGCTGATGAATTTGAAACATTAATGCGTTTAATCCTTCTTTAGCTTCTTGTATGCACCACATTGCAAACCTGTCGAGTGAGATCATAACCATAGTAAATGCAGGGAAATATGACATTTATGAGCAATCAATTCAGCAGAAGGTTGGTGTGCCGTGGAATTGTTTGTCTCATTGAAGAACGGTGTGTATTGCAAAGGTTGGGATCCACCGCTCTAGAGAACCAACAATAGCTTTTGTTACTCTTTTCCTATTCAAAAACTTGTACAAACTTTTTCACTATCCGTTTTAATATTAATGGCGAGTTTTCTTTTATACTCCACTTTCTCCGTCTTTTTAAGTCATCCTTGCTGAGCACAGGCCAGTTAAGGGCAGTAGCTAGGTAGGTTCTAAGTGAAACTGCCCAGCAAATTAAAATGGAATTAAATCCTTAAAATGCTGGCTCAGCACCTGGAATGCAGTCCATAATTAAAGCAGGCAGTTAAGGATTTAGAATTGAAAACTGATCAACATCCTGTCAACTAACTAGAAAAACTTCAATACAGCTTCAGTTTACAAGAGAGTGAAGGAGAAGGAAGAGAGAGACAAGGAAGAGAGAGAGAGAGAAGAGAGACGGAGAAGGAAAGAACTTTCCACCTCCAAGAGCTGGAAATGGCTTTACAGGGTCAGAAAGGACTGACTCAGATTGAAACTGCTCATCAAATCCCTCTTCATATGTTAACATCTCTACCCAGAACCGAGCAATATGTTAAATGCATTTAAATACATTATGTATGTTCCTAAATTTGAAGATGGTGATATGAAGTTCTTTTCCACTACTTTTGGAAGGGTAGCAGCAGAGTTGCAAGAAATATGACTCCTTGTGATTCCGAGTCAGTTACCAGAGAATGTTCAAGAGGTTGATTCCATGCTGACCCCTGAAATGTCCGCTGACTCTAAGAAGACAAAAGCTACCATTCTTACTGTGTATCAGTTGGCCCTGGAAGTACATCAGCAGCAATTCAAGCATATTCAAAACAAACGCATGCAGAGCTGTCTGGAGTTCAAAAAGATGAAAGTAAATTGCTTTTGACTGGTGAGCCCACTCTGTAAAAATACAGTGCACCTTGATCAATTACATGCAATAATACAGCCAGAAGAATTTAAAAATTGCCTACTCCATAACCGAGGAATATATTTGGAGGAATAGAGAGTTCACAGAGCTAGAGAAACCACAGCTGCTGCTATTGGTTTGAGCTCGCCCTCAAAAGCAACAGCTCAGGCTGACCTTTTCAGAACCACTCCCAAAGTCAGTGAGTTGATAAGAAAGCAAAGACAGAAATAAAGGCAAGTGCATGTGGGGGTATGCAAAGTCCACCCAAACCCAAAAGGAGAATCCCCACAGACCCATGTGTTCCCACTGCAGTAAAATGCAGGAATGCTGCAGGTTAAAAGGGAAGTCAGTAGGAATGGTGAAAGTCCAATAATCAGTCCTGAGAGAGATAACCCAGCAGGGGAAGCAGAATCTAGCCACCTGGGAGAATTTGTCTTATGTGTGACCTGCTCAGGAAGCTCGCTGAAAGCTGGAGGAGTTTTATCCTTGTGGCATTAGTGTCCGTATTTCTGTCCCCAAAAGTGAACAAGCTTTATTCAGAGAAACTGGGACTAACCAATCCTTAATGTCAAGTAGGATTTTAAACCTTGCCCTTGCTCTAAAAGCCAAGGACCCGCTCAGGGAAGTGAGTGAAGAGTGTACTTCTGTTCCCCTTAACCATGTTCGCCTGCAATTTAGCCTTGGGACCTGGCATCAGAAAAGTGATTCCAAAGATACTGGTTGCAGTGATAAGCTTCCCACTCAGGAATGCCTGGCCACCAATTGAGTCATAGTAACGCCAAAGGGTTACCACAAAGGAAGTCAAGCAGTCACAGGAATTGAAGGCCCACAAGCTAGAGCCTGCCAAAGTTAAAAGGTTCACGAGGACCCATATGAAATAAATGTGTTATAAGGGACCCACTGAATAAAAAGGTCTCCGCCTACCTCCTAGGGAAAGGACCGGAGTGACTCAGAAAGAGCTGCTTCATCAAGGTTCTGCAGAAAGTTGGACGCAGTTAAATGGTCCTGCAGGGGTCAGTAGCATCCAAAATTGTTTCAGAAATTAAAAAGGCTGAACTCAAACCAAGAAAAAGGGTAGAAGGAGCCATGGCAGAGTGCATAGAAATCAAGAGTTGAAAAGAGGACACCTGAGATTGTACGTGCAGACCTCTTCACAGCCAAGTTAAATGGGAACCTGGAGGGCTCCCACACAAATGCGCAGATTCTGAGTAGGATGTCTCACTCAGTCAGAGTCAAAAGACAGCTAGGGTACTAAATTGCGGCAATTGAGGCAGATGCAGCAAAAATGTAGCCAGGTGAGTTCTCTCCAGACTTACAAAGCAAACAGAAAGTTCCGAGAACAGGTAAATAATTGCAGTTGTGAAGAATCTCATCTTCTCACTGGCTGAGTGAGAGGTTAAGCTAACGAGGGCTTCTCCCATATAGACAAGATAGGAAGGTGCCTCACATGGTTGAAAAGCCATGGATCAGTAAAGTGGGGACCAGACAGCCACTTGAGGGCAGTAGTGTTCCAACAGATCTGAAGGCAGGTTGTGGTTGATTAACCTGCCTAAGTTTCAATAATGTCACCAGGGGACTTTGAGGTTAACTATCTCTGAATTAAACACCGAATCCCCTGATACCTGAGACTGCCAACTACATCATCCTGAACTCTGTGTTCAGTCAGAAGGGACACACAGATCTCCACAGAGTCCTGAAACCATTGTACCTTCGCCATCACCCAGAAGCCTTACGTCTTGCACTCATCAGGACAGCCCCCCAAAACACCAATTCAAGCGAGAATAACACAACATGTATACTGTGTGTGAGGAGAATACTGGTTGTTTGGAAAGTGGACCCTGATTTGTAGGAACATTGCTATGGAGAATGCACCCATTAATGCTATGCTTCAGTTACTCAAACTGTAGTCAGTTAAGGGCTCAAAACTACTTCATGCAATATTTTCTGATGATATCAAAATCAATGGATTGGTTGTGCAAGGGGAAAATTGGAAGGGAATTCAATTTTCAAAGATGTGCAACGTTATGTATTCAGAAAAGGTCAACAAAAGCGAGGGAATGCACAATAAATCCGAAGTTATTGAGAGAGACAGAGGAACTGAGAGACCTTGGAGTGTATGTCCATTGGTCCCTGAAGTTGCCAAGATGAGTAAGGTACAAGAGGAGGGACGAATGCTGGAACTATATAAGACACTGGTTAGGCCACAGGTACAGTTTTCTGCATTGTTCTGGTCACCACATTACAGGAGGCATATAGAGATAACACAATATGGAGCTGGAGGAACACAGCAGGCCAGGCAGCATCAGAGGAGCAGGAAAGTTGATGTTTCAGTTCGCAGGAGGGATATAATTGCTCTAGAGAGAATACAGAGGAGATTTATAAGAATGATGCCATGGCTTGAAAATTGCAAATACAAGAGAAAATTGGATAGGCTTATATTGTTACCTTTCAATACAGGAGGCTGATGGATGACTTAATCAAGGTGTACAAAGTAAAAAGGGGCTTGGATACGGTGGACAAGGAAAGCCTATTTCCACTTGCAGAGTGGTCAGTTAGCAAGTGGCACAGATTTAAAGTGACTCATGGAAGGATTAGAGGGGTCCGAAAGAAAAGATTTGTTCAGCCAGAGGATGGTAAACAGCTTGGTAATTGTGGCAGAAATTCTCAAATCATTTAAAAGGAGCCTGGATCTGCACCTGAAGCATAAGCCTACGGGCCATGAGCTGGAAAGAGTACAAACAATGGGCAGCTTGTTTATTCAGCTGGCCCAATTGTAATGGGCTGATTACCCATTATGTCATGATGGGCTCTTTCCACGCTGTAACATTTCTACGGTTCTATTCCTACTAACCAACAGTCCCAAATCTGCCTTCCCTCTGCCACTAACATGATACTCACTTGGCCGCAATACAAAAATAAAAGCACCAGTAAACAAACTTTTCAAACCAAACTTAGAAATTCAATCATGGGATATTACATTAAAATGTTAACTGATCCCCCTTGAGCATTCATTTAATGCCTTTGCATGGTCTTGTGTACATGCTGCTAACCCAAGTAACTTTAGGCCAGGCTGGTGGCAAGTTGCTGACTTTCAGAGAATGTAGATAGCCTTGGGAAAATGAGCTTGATCAGATCTAGGTCTAAGATTCAGACTCTTTTCACACAAACAAAGTAGTCTGCGTTGGCTTACAGGTAAAAGCAATGGCATTGGAAGTGTGGCAGAAGTGAAAGGATGAACGCAGCCATCCTGAGAGAAGTCAGCAGCTTTGTGATCCATAGAGACATTGGCGCTCCTTTGGGGAAGCACCTCATTTGTCCAGTAACTTGTCAGAGGACAAATTGGCAATATTTTGCACACTGGTATTAACAGCCACAATGACACCAATATGATCTGCGAGGGGGTTCAGCAAGGTAATCATACTTAATTTCAGTCTGAATTTCACTGCAGCAGGCAGAGGTTGGATGGATTTTGGTTGTGTTATCACAGAAACTAAGACATCAGGTGTTGCATCATGGTTAAGCCCACAGTATTCCTATTGAGTTAAACACCATTGCCATACTAGAAAGGATGGGCTCAAAGCTCTGCACAGACCCCTGTGTTTGAATGGGTCCTGTATTTATCCAGACACCTTGACAGTGACTACAATCATCAAGCAGGTTGCCAATGCCTCAAGCACCTGTCCCATCTAAATCCTCATCTGTATCATCTGTAGTGAGGCTCAAGTGTAACATTGTCCCCTGGAAAGCTGGCACCTCTTTATGAGCCTTGTCCTGTACCCTGGCTATTTCGGATATCTAACCATATCCTGACCCAGCCCCTAAGCTCTCCTCTAATGTTCTTAACTGCTGGTATAGAATTGCCAAAAAGGCTGATACAAGCTAAAACTGATGCTTAAAATCAGTGATTAGGTGCAGGATAGTATTCTCACCTAAAGGCTCTCAAACGAACCGCAGCTATCAGGATCTCATTTTGAACATAGTTTCAAACATTGATTTATTTGCTCACAAGTCCTCAAATGTTTATCACCCTAAACTTCACAGATATAGCTTGTATCCAATAGGCAACTGCTTGTCCATTGGTGCTATCCCTCAGGTTGATCTATTTATGTTGTGTTTTCAATTAGACATACAAATATTTGAGTCTGTTCTGCCAGGCAATGAGATCAGGAGAAGCAATAACAGAAAAATATGACACCAGAAAATAGAAAAAGCAAATGTTGACAATACTTAGTTAGTCTGAAAACAATTGTGCAAAGAAAGAGAGTTGATGTTCCAGGTCAATGATGACACCATGTAAAGCAATAGCTTTTCTTGAGTATTTATGTGTGAATAGTAATCACTTACCCCTGAAGTACAGAACTGCATTGCCATCCATAATAAGAAGAAACCCTATGACAAAGGTTATTCTGAGGTACACCATTTCAATTTCACTGGAGCATTGGATAATTGAATGTACAGCCTCTAGGAGAATTTAATTGTGACTTTTTCAAAAGTCAATCATTGACAGAACCTTTTGAATGCATTTTAGACAAAAGATTTATTGTTTGAAGGGCCATTGCTTGAGGTAACTCACCCTTTAATGTCACATTCACTTATTTTCCTTTAATGAAGTATCTACTTCACATGAAACAAACACAGAGAATGTTGGAGAAACTCGATTGGTCTGGAATGACTCTTCTTCAGATTCTTCCAGAATCTACTTTATGTAACTATGTGCAGTTTAAGCCAAGCTAATCTGAGCACATCCCAGTTTACGCACATTGCTGTTAAAAACTGCATATTTCCGAGAACCATATGCTGATTTATACATCACCTTTACAGCCGTCTACAGCAACTCACCTGTAGTGATTTGTAGGATTGCATCTCCATGCTAATGATGGCTTAACCAATCAGCACACTCTTCTCATGCTATACAAATAAGTGTCCCTTTATCAAGTCTGGTTTCTGCACTTCTATCCAAGTGCACGCCAAAAGCAGAAATAGTAATCTCTGCAGAGTACAATAACATTTGATCAGATTTTTCTCCTTTAGAACATTTTGGAAGATATCTATATTGAACAGAGAAGAAGGTTCCTTCCTCTTGAAGAGCTTTGGATACAATGTTGTGCCAGTTGCTTACACTGTAAGCTGTTCGCACTGATAGCTCAAGTTTGCTCATTCTGTGATGTTGCTTATTTAAGAAACTCTTGGACTTCTTTGGCTCTGTTAATCATTCATGTGCCCTGTGTATAGTTTTGTGCCTTAACAGCTGACCAAAATAACTCCATTTCTGAATCTTGATGATGTCAATCGCATTTCCTCCATACTTGATTCTTGTTAGGACATCCTTATTGTTTCTTCTCTGCTTCCACATAATAGTGAGTATGTAATTATTGGCATGATAACTTTGCCCTTAAGCAAAATCATTCAAGAGCTATCTTAATGCATTCTGAGGATATAATAGATCATCAGCTTGTCTGTTCTTTCCATGAATGTTAACTGATCAATTAGGTGTTTGCAAACTGCTCAGTTTTGAGCCTGGCAGTAGGAGAATCATGTCAGGCCCTTTGGGAGTGAGAGGGTTTAGACTGGATTGGGTCTAGTGATGTGAGGGCAATGGGTGATATGGGAGAGTTTGGGTCAGGGTCAGGTCCTACAGTGGGTGGAGAGAGGTGGAATGGGTCCAGTGACAGTGACAGAGTGGGGTTTGTCAGGTTCTGAGGCAGGGAGTATCAGGCATCCAGACAGGGGGTGCTGGATGCTGGGGAGTGTGGTGACATGTCTATTACACTATTGTGTACAGATTGTGTATTGTCTACAGATTTACAGTATCAATTTAATGTCCAGAATCCTCCTACTTGTGAGTGCAATGGTACACTAAACAATTGTGTTTGTAAGGTCAATTCAGTTGAATCCTATTAATTCATGTGATAACATTTGACAATTTATTGTTTGAGAACATAACACTTTTACCAACATTCGCATGACATAATATTTAAGAGCACAATCAAACCTAAAACCTGTAGAACAGCGATTGAGATTTTGTTTGTAATCTCTAACAATATAAACACTGGTGGGCTATCAGGAATTATACCAAGAAAAGAGCACAATCACCCTCCAGGAGGGAACATAGATGGAAGATATACGTAACAACCCAACAATGTAAAAAAGGTTGTCCCTTTATCTAGTGACGTTATGTTGGTTTAAATAGTGCAGTGAAAATCATTCTGTAAATATATTTATATCAGGCAGATGATTTTAATTCACTTACATCTAGTTTCAATGCAAAACAGAAAGTTAAATTGTGAAATAGATAATATTTTTAATGGACAAATGGTCAAAAGAGATTACACCCCTACTTTGAGAGACCTTGTCACATGCAGCAGTAGCATATTATACTATAGTAAAAAACAGTGAAAAGCCCAGTTCCCTTTTTAGGATTGAAAACATTGGGGTGGATAGTCTAGTTCATACTATCCGATATGGAAGAGTATCTATAAGTAATAGTCTTTGATAAATGGAGTTACTTGGGTTGCTCCTAATTTGAAAGGGTGTCCACAAAGCAAAAATGCTTTCATCTGCCTGTTTGGTATAATTAAATATCAATTTAGCATGTGATCTTACATGGGATTAAAAAAGATTAATTGAACAATGATGGTCATAAGAGGAAGACAATTTCTTGTACATTCTGCTTATACAGGAAAAGGCAGATATTGTGTAAATACTACTGGTTAGGAATTCAAACATGGTATTTTAACCTGCCCCATCAATTTAGGAACTTTTTGTTTCATCCCATGCCATATCTGTCCAGCTAGGAACACAAGTTTTCAATGACATATACAATCATCAATATCGATTATCAGAGTTAAAGTTGATTTAAAGAATCAATTGGATCAATATATTAGATATGATTTCCTTCTATAACTTGAACATCTTTTGAATTAAATCTTCCAGTTCACATTTTTTATTCTGGAACAACAAGATGCAGAACTTAAAAAAGTTAAGCAATATTGGCACAAGGTTCACCAAACAATTGAGACACTGGCACAATTTAATACAAAATTATACACATTAGTTGTAGTCCTACTAACTGTTTTAATCAAAGCAATTATAACTTTGGTTAATGCAAAAAGAAACGTTATATTTCAAGGTAAGTCTAGAAACTATGTACTTCAAGGTCACAATGTGCTAATGATTAAAGATATTTGCGGCAGTAACCATAGCAATGTAATTGGCAACTTGCCATTAAAACAGATAAAAATTCAAACTTTCAGTTCAATTATTTCATATATTTCAAAGATTAACAATAATCATCAACTCCATTATAAAGGATCCATTTTAAACAGCGTTTATATTAGGTTTGCTTTTACAAAGTGTTTTATTTTAAGATTAATTTTAAACTTTGTTACATTCTTTAGTTTAGAAAGCAAAACTTATAATTTGAAAGCATGAAATGGTTACAAGGAATGTATTTTAATAAACATTTTAATAAAAATTAGAAACAAATTATGTGAAGATATGTGCTCAAAATCAGATTATGGAAAGGAATTGAACAACTCATTGTTTTATCGTCAAGGCTAATTTTGTACAAAACTGAATACTGTTTAAAACAAATGAGAGATTATGCCAGCCAATCAAAGGATGACAAGACCCGGTTAATATTTGGAGGGGAAAGGTCTTGAACCTTTGGTGGAAGATAAAAGAAAACCTACATCCACGGACCGTAATTGTTAAATCCAGAAGCAGTTGTGTGTTTCTGAAGTCTACTGAATTTTGTAGGTATACTCTGTCTCCTTTAGAGTTATTCTGTTGTTATAATCTAGCGTAAGAAAAAGACAGTGAATTATAAATACTATGTATCAAAACTAAGGTTTAGTTATATGAACAAATGTTTCTTATACATTTGGACTTAACCAATGCTGCATTATAGCTTCAAAATTCTATACTACAAGTCCGCACTAATTTATGTATATACCCTTTAATAAAATTTTCTGCGGATTTTCTGTCTCACATTGCTGAGAACACATCTCAAGAACATGTGCAAATTTGGTCAACTTAATTAGGGAAGGATGTAATGACATTGAAGGCAATTCAGAGGAAGTTTACTAGATTGATACCTGGAATGAGCCGGTTGTCTAATATTGAAAGATTGGAAGACTGGGCCTATTTTCAATTGACTTTAAAACAACAAGATTTAGCTTGATTGATACTTCTAAGATTCTGACTGGGCTTGGCCAGGTGGATATGGAAATGACGTTTCCTTTTGTGGGTGAGTCCAGAACTAGGGTACACCATTGTAAAATTAGTTGTTGTTCTTTAGGACAATGAGGTAATATTTTTCCTTTCAGAAGGTTGTGCAACTTGGGAACTCTCTGTCTCAGAAAGCAGTGGAGATGGGGTCATTGAATATTTTTTAAGGAGGAGGTAGAAACTTTTTCCTAAGCAAGGGAATCAATCGTTATCAGGGATAGATGGAAATATGGAATTTAGAATACAAACAAATCAGCCACGATCTTATTGGGTGGTAGAACAGTGTTGAGGGATCAACTGGCCCGTTTCTGCCCCTAATTCATAAGTTTCTGTGAATATTTTGTCCACTGTTTTGGTTAAATGTATCACTTCAAATGTACCTCCAATCACATACAGGAGCAATGGATAGATTTCCATTCTGATAATACGTGTTGACAGTGAGTGCGCCGGCATCTCCGGGCACTACAATCAAGCCTACCCCAGCTCAAAGCCTCCCTCTCCCAGACCTGCAAAGGACCTCTCCTGTTTTTTATTCTTCGTAGGATCCACAACCTGAACTCACAATTCTACTCAGCTTTATTGGACACTAAAAACCGTAAGTACAGTAAACTTACTGGTGCCTACCACACAAAACGGGCTTCCTCCACCCCCCAAATCCCCAACCCTACCCAGGACCTTCCCCACAATGTGCCCGCTGCCCTTCGCCATGAGGCCACTGTCGGAGAACCCACAGATGATGTCACATCCGTCACCACCGGGTACCCCACTTCCGGGACAGCAAACGCCATCACTGCCGATGCCACCGCCTCCATTTCCAAGACCAACACCACAGACACTGAAGACGCACCTACCGTCACCGCTGCTGCTGCCGCCTACCCCGCTCCCCCCACCGCCGACGCCGCTCCATCCATCAATGACGTGGACACAACTCCGCCCACCACCAACACAACTCCGCCCACAGCCTACGCTGACGCAACTCCGCCCACAGCCTCCACAGCTAGCAGCTCCAGAGGGGACAATAGCACCCAGCCCTGCCAAGTCTTCACCATCCCCCCAGACCTCCCCCATTCTGAGGACGAACGGTCAGTCCCCAGTAAAGGGCTTACTTTTGTCCCCCTCCGCTCACACATCAACGAATACCGGTCACGTTTGGACATAGAGCAGTTTTTCTGCCACCTCCGCCTCCACGCTTACTTCTTCAACCGTTAACCTAACCCTCCCTCTACTGACCCCTTCTCCCGCCTCCAACACACCCCCTCCTCCTGGACACCACCCCAAGGCCTCCTACCCTCCCTTGACCTCTTCATCTCCAACTGCTGTTGAGACATCAATCGCCTCAACTTCCCCACCCCTCTCACCCACTCCAACCTCTCCCCTGCAGAACGTGCAGCCCTCCGCTCCCTCTGCTCCAATCCCAACCTCACCATAAAACCCGCGGACAAGGGAGGCGCAGTTGTAGTATGGCGCACTGACCTCTACATCGCCGAGGCCAGATGCCAACTCTCCGACACCTCCTCCTACCGCCCCCTTGAGCATGACCTTACCCCCGAGCACCAAACCATCATCTCCCAAACCATCCACAACCTCATCACCTCAGGTGACCTCCCACCCACGGCCTCCAACCTCATCATTCCCCAACCCCGCACCGCCCGCTTCTATCTCCTTCCCAAAATCCACAAACCTGAATGCCCTGGTCGACCCATTGTCTCCGCCTGCTCCTGCCCCACCGAACTTATCTCCAACTACCTGGACTCCATTTTCTCCCCCTTGGTCCAGGAACTCCCTACCTACATCCGTGACACCACCCACGCCCTCCACCTCCTCCAGAGCTTCCAATTCCCCGGTCCCCAACACCTCATCTTTACCATGGACGTCCAGTCCCTATACACCTGCATTCCCCATACAGATGGCCTAAAGGCCCTCCGCTTCTTCCTGTCCCACAGGCCCCACCAGTCCCCCTCCACTGACACCCTCATCCGCCTAGCCGAACTCGTCCTCACCTCAACAACTTCTCTTTCAATTCCTCCCACTTCCTACAGACAAAGGGGGTGGCCATGGGTACCCGCATGGGCCCAAGCTACACCTGCCTCTTTGTAGGTTATGTGGAACAATTCCTCTTCCGTACCTACACTGGCCCTAAACCCCACCTCTTCCTCCGTTACATTGAAGCCTCGTGCTCCCACGAGGAGCTCGAACAGTTCATCCACTTCACCAACACCTTCCAACCCAACCTTAAGTTCACCTGAACCATCTCTAATACCTCTCTCTCTCCTTCCTGGACCTCTCTGTCTCCAACGTGGGCAAACATCTAGAAACCGATATCCATTTCAAGCCCACCGACTCCCACAGCTACCTAGAATACACCTCCTCCCACCCACCTTCCTGCAAAAATGCCATCCCCTATTCCCAATTCCTTCGCCTCCGCCGCATCTGTTCCCAGGATGAGGCATTCCACTCCCGTACATCTCAGTTGTTCTCGTTTTTCAAGGACCGCAACATCCCCCCCTCAGTGGTCGAGAACGCCCTCAACAGTGTCTCCCGCATTTCCCGCAACTCATCCCTCACACCCCGTCCCCGCAATAAGAACCAAAAAAGAATCCCCCTTGTCCTCACGTACCACCCCACCAACCTCCGGATCCAAAGCATCATCCTCCGACACTTCCGCCATCTGCAATCCAACCCCACCACCGAAGACATTTTTCCCTCCCCACCCTTATCTGCTTTCCGGAGGGACCACTCTCTCCGTGACTCCCTTGTCCGCTCCACACTCCCCTCCAGCCCTACCACACCCAGCACTTTTCCCTGCAACCGCAGGAAGTGCTACACCTGCCCCCATACCTCCTCCCTCACCCCCATCCCAGGCCCCAAGAAGACTTTCCACATCAAGCAGATGTTCACCTGCACATCTGCCAATGTGGTATACTGCATCCGCTGTACCCATTGTGGCCTCCTCTACATTGGGGAAACCAAGCGGAGGCTCGAGGACCGCTTTGTAGAACACCTACGCTCGGTTCGCAATAAACAACTGCACCTCCCAGTCACGAACCATTTCAACTCCCCCTCCCATTCCTCAGATGACATGTCCATCCTGGGCCTCCTGCAGTGCCACAACGATGCCACCCGAAGGTTGCAGGAACAGCACCTCATATTCCGCTTGGGAACCCCGCAGCCCAATGGTATCAATGTGGACTTCACAAGCTTCAAAATCTCCCCTCCCCCTACCACATCCCAAAACCAGCCCAGTTCATCCCCGCCTCCCTAACCTGTTCTTCCTCCCACCTATCCCCTCCTCCCACCTCAAGCCGCACCCCCATCTCCTACCTACTAACCTCATCCCGCCCCTTTGACCTGTCCATCCTCCCTGGACTGACCTATCCCCTCCCTAACTCCCCACCTACACTCACCTTTACTGGCTCCATCCCCGCCTTTTCGACCTGTTTGTTTCCTCTCCACCTATCTTCTCCTCTATCCATCTTCTATCCGCCTCCCCCTCTCTCCGTAATTATTTCAGAACCCCCTTCCCCTCCCCCATTTCTGATGAAGGGTCTGGGCCTGAAACGTCAGCCTTTCTGCTCCTATGATGCTGCTTGGCCTGCTGTGTTCATCCAGCTCTGCACCTTGTTGTTTATGAGTCTGATGACGTATTGTTCCTATGTATGAATGATAGGGAAAGTGTCATGACTCACTTGGGCAATATGCTTGAAATCAAACCCCACTACTCCTGGAGTCATAACAGATGTGAAGATTTAATGAAACTACCAAAGATTTCAATAAAGGAAAAAATAAGTCACAATAACATAGTTCTGTATCGCCAGTCCAAAGTGCAAAACTGGTCTCAGAATCCTTTTGATTTTTCAATGATGTTAATTTTTAAAAATCATTCATGGGATATGGGCGTCACTGGCTAGCCAGCATTTACTGGCCGTCCCTTGTTGCCCTTAAGAAGGTGGTGGTGAGCCGACTTCTTGAACCGCTGCAGTCCACATACCATAGATTGACCCTGAGGGAGGGAATTCTGGGATTTTGACCCAGCAAAAATGAAGGAATGGCAATAGATTTCCCATGCAGGATTGTGAATGGTTTGAAGGGGAACTCGAAGGTGGTGGATGTAGTGCCAATCAAGTGGGCTGCTTTGTCCTGGATGACGTGAAGCTTCTTTAGTGTTGTTGGAGCTGTACCTATACAGGAGCATGGGGAGTATTCCACTACACTTCTGATTTGTGTCTTGTAGATGGTGGACAGGCTTTAGGGAGTCAGGAGGTAAGTTACTCACCACACTATTCCCAGCTTCTGACTTGTTTTTGTAGCCACTGTGTTCATGTTTATGTCCAGTTGCGTTTTGGTTTAAAGGTAAGCTCCCCAGGATGTTGACAGTGGGGGGATTCAGTGATCATAACACCATTGAATGTCAAGGGACAGTGGCTAGATTGTTTCTTATTGGAGATTGTGTGAATGTTACTTGGCATTTGTCAGCTTAAACCTGGATATTGTTCAGACGTGTTGCATTGGAACATGGACTGAGGAGTTGCAAATGGTGCTGAACATTGTGCAATCATTAGCCAACATCCC